TATAGTAGAAATTGATTGATGATTTAAATTATATGCCGAATTATATAGTAGAAATCGATTGACGATTTATTTATGCCAAATTATTTGCCAAATTATATGGTAGAAATAGATTGACAATTTATTTATGTCATTAATATACCGAATTATTTATTTTTTGATGAATGTTACACAAGTGGTATTATGCTGAATAAATATTTTTCGACTAGTGGCTGCATAGATATAGAAATATATAGTTTATAGAAGATAATTGATATAACTGCTGTAGGATTTAATTATCCATCAAATTAAGTTAATTCTTAAATAAAGCTTGCATATAATACCAGTTGCGATTTAAAAAAAAAAAAAAATCTATAAAAGTAAGTTGAATCAATTTCTTAAACAAATTATTTGATTTCAATAATTCTTTAATTTCAATGTATATATAATATATATATATATTTTTTAGTATAAGCTCTTGAAATCATATATATATACTTGAAAAAAATTTGAACTTAAAAAAAAAGTTATATACTATATACTTGGAATCAAGCCTAATTGTTGCATTTAGAAAAATAAAAATATAGAAAGAATCGATTATATATATATATATATTTGAACAAAACTTATTTTGATTGTTTTTATTTGTATTTTATTGTTACGATTTAAGCCATGGCTTAAACTATAGTTTAAACCATGATTTAATTTCAAAGCCATAGTCAACCCAGGCATGTCACCTAAAAAAGTTTGACCCCAGCCGTTAATAAATTTATAATCTCACGTGTTGACGAATTCCATTTATGATTGGCCGGATTAACATTGATAATCATATTCAAGAAAAAAATGTTGTGCAATAAATTATCCTTTAGGTCTAAATGCTACTTCGACCTTCTTTGCAGTATTCAAGATCTGTTCTATTTAACCAAAGTGTCCGATACACCGAGATCAATAATTGTCGTGTGTTCGCGCATGACAACTTACGAAGATTCTTATCCGACACTCCACCACTAAATTCACACATAGGTCGTAAAATTATTAGGTATCCGCATAACGTTGAAGTCAAGCATGACCCGACACCGATTAGCCAACCACGTGTTAAAGCGGATTTAAATTCCACAACATTGGTGATATCAGGACCACTGGGCGTACATTCCATGCCAATCAAACCATACATCAGGATTAAGTTCATCGATTCTGACATGCCGTACGCACCACCCAATGAGCGAAAACAAGAGAAGAGGGGCAGGTCTCTCTCGAGCGGTGACGACGACGAAGATGATGATTTCTTCGATGAAAGCGATTTTGACAAAAAACTGGCGATATCTGTCGAAGATTACCGAATCAAAGAGCAGAGAGCAATGTGGGGGACGACCAGATCCTTAATTGCCAACTATGTTAAGGGAGTTTCCGAAGGTTACAGGGTTTTATTGAGGTTCGTTGGTGTGGGATACCGAGCCAGCTTGGAGGCGGATCCTCTTTCAGAAGGGAATCGTAAACAACTTCATCTGAGAGTTGGATACATTCACCCTGTCATCTTAAATATCCCTCCTCACATTGAATGTCGCTTACCCAGTCCAACTAAAATTGTCTTGAGCGGAACCGATAAACAATCGGTGATGATGTTTGCATCGAAAATAAGGGCACATAGGAAACCCGAACCATATAATCAAAAAGGTATCTTCATCAACGATGAAACCATCAAAAAGAAGAACAGCAAGAAAAAATAGCTGACGGTGTGATGGTTGAGTGGTTGATTGGTTGGTTTCATCTGTCTTTGAAAGTATTTCATGTCATTTCTATCATTATTTTTGTCATAAAGTATATGTCACGTGACCAAAATCTCGAACGAACGCGTCGACAGTATTGTATGCCATGTTAATAAGTTAATGCGTTATCTTAGTAGGCGCATAATTGAATGCACGATTACGGCATTTCCTTATATAGTATGATGTCCACTTTATTTGGTAAATTATGCGTGCCGATTCATCTATATTCCTTCCCCAATGGTCACACGGCTTTTGAACGACCTAAGTTGCTTGTGTGTTGACACAGGAAGTGTGTTTCAACTTTCAACGTAAAGCACTTTCAACGTTTTTTTGACGCAATGGTTAATCTCCTGGCATTTGTTTCTTTGCTCGCCGTTATTCCCTTTGCCCTTGTTGCCGGGGAACAGGATGCCCAAACCTTCGACCTTACGTATGATTCACAATTTCAAGCGTATGCCTCCCCGCAGGACGACTTGAGGTTAATTCAAATCAGCGAGACGGAATATCGCTGGCTGACCGAAGGACAGATACTCGATTTAATTAGGGAGAAGGTCAAATTTATGGATATAACCGATTACACAGAATTGGGAACAATTTATAAGACGAAAAAGAAGCGTGGTAAAATTCACCGGATCTTCCGAATTTTCTTTCTTTCTTTCTTTCTTTCTTTTTTTTTAATAAACCAAATGACTCAACCGGGATGATAATTTTGCATGTCAAGAATTCCCTGTCGGCCCTACTTTTCAAGATGAGGTTATTCCCTTTATTGGCAACCTCACCACCGAGTATATGCAAAAAAATCTTGAAAAGTTCACTTCCTTCCGGAACCGATATTATCGTTCAAAATATGGCGCCGAGTCCTCGAAATGGCTCTTCGAACAAATCTCGAATATTGCAAAAGGAGCAAAGAGATTTGACGCAGCTGTGTCGGTTAGGCAGTTCACCCATCGATGGGCACAAAAATCCATCATTGCGAGATTCGAAGGCACCGATCCGGAAAAAGAGAATGAAGTTGTTATAGTGGGAGCACACCAAGATTCAGTGAACATGTGGATGCCCAACTTTGGTAGGGCACCAGGAGGTAATTTAAAATGAATAATAATAATAATAATAATAATAATAATAACGATATCATTCTTTACGTGAAGCTGATGACGATGGGAGTGGAACGGTCACAATTTTGGAGGCATTCCGTGTGTTGGTCGAAGGAAATTTCAGGCCCGAGCGACCGGTTGAATTTCATTGGTATTCGGCTGAGGAAGGTGGACTTTTAGGTTCACAAGCGATCGCCCTGGAATATGAAAAAGAAGGAAGAGACGTGATTGGCATGCTACAGGTGATAAATTAATAATTCATTTGCGCATTCCACAGTTTTTACCTGTTCCTCACATTACTGTACATATATATGCTTTTTAAATATCAGAATGATATGACGGGATACGTTGGTAGCAAGGAACGCGAGTCATTTGGAATCGTTGTCGATTATGTTGATTCCGATCTGACCAATTTTCTCAAGACACTTATAACCACATACGCAGATATTCCATCGCTCGACACTAAATGCGGGTAAGCATCGAAATTTCCTGCAGCAAGAAAAAGTAGATGATATCAATGATTCATCACTCATCATCGCCTTTCGACTTTTTAGGTATGCTTGTTCGGATCATGCTTCGTGGTCAAAGGTGATTATTACTGCTTAATTATGTTAAAATCTTTCACATGATCGATTTAATCATCATTTACCCGATGAAATAATATAGGCTGGGTTCCCTTCGGCATTTGCTATCGAGGGTCCCTTCAATGATTCCAACCCATACATTCACACCGTGAATGATTTGATCGAGCACCTCAGCTTCGATCATATGCTCGAATTCGCAAAGGTAATTAAAATTGTTTGTGCATCGTTTTTCGTCTTATCACAACCACTGTAATTCTAATCCAACGGGTTTTCCTCAAAACTCCCACAGCTTTCCGTCAGCATGGCCGTTGAACTAAGTCATGTCTAATTCATCAACTTCCCAACCCTATTGTACCATTTCTATCAGTTAAATTTCGGAGAATGTATTTACTATCCGTCATCCGTGAATAAAAAAAAGTCATTAAAATGAATTTACATAAGAGAATTATAATCGGACAATGAAGTACAAAAATGATAGCGAAACCTTGGCAGATAAGGAAAAAACGTTTCGTGTGTGTGATACTTGCAGAAATGTTTGGTATCCATATACATGTATAAATTATGTACGTACGTTAGCTCGAAATTTCTTTTTTTTTTTTTTTTTTGAGCCTCGTTTCACAAAATACAGTGGTTATGTTTAACGACTTTATCCAATCAATTAAGTCCGTTGCACAGCATTTATTATTGTTCACACCAAAGTAAAAGTTCACCAAAACACATTACGATACACGACTTCCAACTTTTTCTCCTTTTATTTAGCCTGTTCCCGCGTAAAGAACGACGTGCTTATTCGTTATACAAAAGAATCTACCAGGGATTTACTTGCTTCGCCTTTCCTTTATTACACACCATCGCAATCCCTCGTTTAGGAATAAACATCCAGTTACGACCGAAACTCCTCAACTCCGTTATAAAGGCAGTCAACCATCCAATAGACGTGAACCGAAGTAACTGATTCGAAATGTCCACAATGTCTGCTAAAATGTCTCGCGGCTCTCGGCGACGTAAGCATGCCGTTTCACAACTAAACATAATGGCTGTAGGTTTTTCCTCGCTTGGCAAGACCTCTTTCATCCGCATGCTTTACAACACACTTTGTATCCGTGAAAACACGAAGGAGGATTCGCCGCTTCCGGCTTGTTTATTCCAGAGTGCCGAAACTTTACAGGACGCTGAGGTCGCGCGTACGAAAGAATTGTATTCTTTCACGTTGGATATCGAGGAAGAGGGGGAAAAGATTTCTTTAACTTTGGTCGACAGCCCTGGCTTTGTAAGGGATAATGAACTTAGGCTTGACGTTCAAGTGACGGAGGCATTGAGATATATCGAGTCCCAGTTCGATATTACATTGGCTGAGGTGAGGAGAACCAAGGTTTACTTGTGGCATATGAAAATCATGGATTCGTTAACGTCAGGTTTTACGCATATACTTGTGAACGACGTCGAATCAAAAAAGTTCTTCACCAAAATAAACGAACAAAAACTCAAACCATCCAACATTTCTTTTAAATTCACTCCACACACAGGAAACGAAAGTAAAGCGTAACCCCAAGGCTCAAGATAGTCAAATTCATGCTTGCCTTTATTTCATTGACAATACGAATAACGGGCTAACCGATAAGGATGTTCGCATCTTAAAACGACTGACCGCTCGCGTAAACGTTATCCCTGTTGTCGCCAAGGCCGATTTACTTACGACCACGCAACTCGCGAAACTCAAGCAGGCTATCAAGAACGACCTGAAAGAACATAGCATTCCTGTATTCGATTTTCCCATTGATGATGAGTTGGTGGAGCCTGAGGTAGCAGAGGTGGTCGCAAACGCACAATCCTACATCCCGTTCTCTTTGATCGCTCCAGAGGATGCCGATGTCATCGATCCAACGACCGGAGAAAAAATTCGGGGGCGTCAATATACATGGGGAATCATTGATTGCTTAAACCCAAAACATTGTGATTTTGTTGAATTGAGGAACGTACTCCTGTCGAGCCACCGAAAATTATTCAAGGATATTACCCTGGAGGTGTTCTACGAACAGTATCGTACCGAAAGATTGATGGCCAGAAAGGCGAGTAAGATGATTACCAAGGAGCAAAAGAAGAAATTGATGGAGGATTTATCGGAAATTTAAAGTGATTGGAAAATCATTTATTCTTCGACATCATTGTTGCAACAATTTTTTTCTTTATTCTCTCTCTTCTGTATATTATCCGCTTCCTTGATGTTTTGGCATTCTTTTTTTGGAGGGATTGGCAACAAAATTCCTTTTCTTCTTTTTCTCTTTTTCTCTTTTTTTTTTTATTTACTATTCTCTTGTATTCTCTTGACTTTTAGGTTTCGTCTTTTTCTGATTGTTATACACATCAGGTCCCTGATCAATTAACACTCGCACCGTGAGGGAGAACAAAGCTTAATAATGCCCGACCGGCTTTCGGGTTCACAAGTGCATAGAGGATCCTCTTCAGACTATTAATTATTCCTTATTTTTTTTTTTTTTTCCTTTTTTTTTTTATTTATTACTTTTTTTTTTTTTTTTTTTTTTTTTTTTTTTTTTTTTTTTTTTTTTAAAAAAAAAAAAAAAAAAAAAATAAAAAAAATAAAAAAATAATATTTTTTTATCATATCTCCCATTC